ATTACGAGGAGATTTGTGTACTACACTTAGAGCAGCTTGGAATATCGAATAGGAACTGAATTGAACTGAATAGGATATGAACTGAATAGGTTTAAGACTGATATGGGTCACATGCAGTGTTGTGTACCCAAATATAGTTTATTTAGTTCACACAGAACATAGTCTACTCAAGGATAGTTTTTGTTTATTTATTTGTCTGGATTTCTATTTCTCATAGGTTTTTCTTTTTTGTAGTTTATATATCTCCATATCATTAATTGCACTTAATAATAATTATATAGGTATCTTAAAACTTGGGGGGAGATGTTGTGACTAATGTTATATTTGATGACGCATATATGAAGAAGCATTATACCTCGTGACTACTACATGAAGTGGGCCCAAGCCCTTGATTATATATGCTCGCACGTTTGTAATAAAATACACTTTTCTTGCCGGTTTATATACAATGTTGATGTGAGTCTTAACATCACATACATACTCCTAGTAGTGTAAAAGACAGTGTCTTTGTACTGTGAATTAATAAACTTAAATGTAGTTTAAAGACGAGTGTAAGCCTGTTTTTAGCTACTGAACACTTAAAACTGTAAGTTGAGTCACAAAAGTGATGTCATTGTAGTGACCTCTTTTATATGGACACCTCTCTAATTCGGACACTTCACTCTGTCCCTTCAGTGTCCGTATTAGAGAGGTTCGACAGTCACTGTAATGGGTTTGATTCCAAGAAATCAATTTCAAGAAGTTTCTGACATTTAAAGCAACTGAGTTGAAATAACATTGCAAAAAAAGTTTTAAAAATGCGAGGACTTCTTAATACTACATATTATATACTACTTTCACCACAAAAACATATTAAAAACAAGGGTTATTTGTTGCCTGACTCACAACTTACAGTTGACTGTGATAATATGAGTAAACTGTAATGTGTAGTTCCAGAAAACATCCATAATAACCCCCTCCCCCACCCCTATGGAGGGCACTTTTACTTTAGATCTGACCACCCACACCCCTATAATTTCTGCTCCAAGGGGTGGTTGTCATACACCCCATGCCACAGAATTTTCTGTTATCTAACTTGGTTGGGACACCCCCGAAAAGAATATTTTTATCAAACATGCTGTTGCACTATACTTTTATGCAGAAGATAATTGTATGTTTTCTGTGATAAAGAGAGGAAAAATCTTTTTATTCATCTTAAAACAATGTCTAATGTTCTCAGCTTTGCCTTGCACATAAAAGCCTTTCTTTGTTAATAATTAACAGTGAGTACAGGTTTATGTCACTGACAACCAAGGAGGCAATACCTTACAAGACACAGTAAAGTGGACAAAACTGTTCTGGATTGACGTTTTATTATACAAAAATCACAAGCCATAACGACCCTTAATGATATATTTGTCCTTTAAACAACATTTAATTCCACACATGGAATAATATTACACAAGGAGGAATTGTGTTACAGCATATCAAAACTTGGTAACAAAATCACCAAGGCAAACAAAATCAAATAATTTTTAAGAAAAACAAATCATATGTTTTTTGGTGAAAAAGAAGTGTTGTCATGTTAGAATGTTGTGTCCAAATAAATCTTGCAGCGAAGATAACTTGGATCAAGTCATTGACATGCAGCAGTATAATCCTTTCATACATCAGCAGTTAAGAGAGTCAAAGATTCAAGCTGCGATACATACATATGCTACCAATGCAGGGCCACGAGGCAAATCCACAGAGTTGTTTGAATCAAGCTGCATGTTGTGCAACACAACGTGAGACTAAATGGCAAGCCCCTGAAAGAAAAGCCAAGAAATATGGTCTAGCAACTATTAGAGAGGCCCACATAGCAGTGCCAGAAGTTCTTGGCCAACGATGCTTTAACACACAGCAGCATTTCGTGGCTGCTGGCATGGAACGGAGCGTGAGCAACAGGCTGCCATCTTCAAAACAGATGGAGGACCGATCTGGTGGCAAGAAGACTTTTAAGATGACGAAAGTCTGAAGAAAGTGCTATACGAGTGGTCAAATAAGTTGTAGACTGTCCTTAAGTTTTCCTTGTCTTTTCCCGTTGAATGCTTTTTGAAACATCCACAAAAACGTCACGATATTCTTAACACAACAACCCGTCATTTTTTTATTCGTTTTTTTCTTCTTAGAAACAATGTGATTTTTGCATCCCTTTGTGATTTCGTTACTGTGTTTGGATACGTTGTAATGCAAGTCCTCCTTGAACAATCAAATTTTCCAATGTGTGGAATTTGGTAAACTTCAAAAGAGAAAATATAATTGAGGTTCCTTGGCTTGTTATATTTTTGTATAATGTAACATCAATCCAGAACAGTTTTGCCCAGTGTACTATGAGAGCATCTATGAAAGAACCAGTAAACAGTTAAGAACAAGTTAAAAGAAGGCTAATTAATACGCTCTTCTCACTTATGGTAATATGCCCGTCTAACCTCGTTTACAGGTAAAAATTCTTTTGAAATTCAAATACGAAAACGTCGTCTGATTAGCATTTCAAAGGACTTTTTACTCAAAAACGAGGTTAGGCGGGCATATTACCATACGTGAGAAGAGCGTATAGAACATGACCATAACACAGTGAATTACAATTATATTGTGAAATATAAAGCAATGAGCTGGATGACCAGCATTATTCATGAGCCGATATGACATTCATATTAGATATATGTAGACTATATCATACAGGTAAGCTGTGAAAAAAGCATTCAGCTATAACTGTTAATGTAAGATCATCAATAAAAACAATAATTCTTGTTTCATTCAAAGTCCCTGGAAAAAAGACCTTGAGAATCTGACCCCACTCCCTTGGAAATTGCCTCCTCTTGGACCCCCTTCCCACTGGAATTTCTGATGCCCTCCGTGGGGGGAAGTATAACCCGCATCCTGGTGTGGAAGATAACAGTTTCCATTTTCTCATGAACCTATGCAAGTATACATGTAATAGCTCCTCCAGTCCTGGAGTCACTGCAAGTTTTTCTTTAAACTTTCTGAACAGTTTGAATATTGTTGTTAAATGTACATGTATTGTATTGTATGTATGCTGACACTAAACATGAAAGGCATTTCAAAATAACCTCATTGAATTGGTAATGATCAAATGTAAACACAGCACTGGTTTATTCATTAACAGTTCTTACATGAATCAAGTGAACTCACTCACTTCAATTCCTCATGAACCTATTGTTGTGGTGCATCAAGCTACCATGGTGGCCAATCATTTACATAAAACTGGTAAATGAGGTACAGTAACACCAGAAAATAAAAACCTACTTTTTTTGAAGTCTGGCAAAATAGGTTCTTGTATTTTGGGGTACTTAATAGCAATTTAGGCTATGTAGGTTCTTAATTAGGTTCTTAGTTTTTACGTATGATAAGGAGATAGATTGTTGATTTAAAATCATAAGTCTCAATTGCAGATTCAGAATCTGTAAGCCATGTTTTGTTCCTTGTATTTAGTCCACAAAAGAGAAGACATGGTCCCTGCGGGGTTGAACATGGCGGTGACCATGGAAACTTGGGATATAACGAATTACGGCATGACTCATGAGCTTGCCACGAATGTTTTCTGAAGAAAGCTTAGGATGAGTTAATGCAAAAGATTTAGAGCTTTTCCAGAATAGGTTGGTCCACGAATTCTATTGCTTAAAAGTGGTGATTACTTTGGAACAAGTGGTCGAGTAAAAGAAGAATCTTAATGAGCAAAACTTTGATCAATGGTGCAGATGGTGTGGCTAACTGGTCTGGTGTTGTAAACTTTCATTGTTTCATTTTCAGCGATGACCAAAATGACATGCCTTGTTCATCACTTTTTTTGCTCTCTGGCAATGGTGTAATTTCTCTCATACTCGAATCTAGGCCCTTAATTTTCGTGTATTTATGCACATGTATTCAATCAATTCAGAAACAAATTGTCAAATACCATATATAAAATAAAATATCTTGAAGAATACTTGACTGTCGATAAAGTAGGAAGTCAAAAACTTGTCACGAGAAAATCCTGCTTCATGTAGATGTAATTGCCTCGATCCTCATTTCTTGAGCAAGAGAGACTTATGAATATACTAAAAAAATAACTCATAGGTACCCCCCTTTTTACCACTGATAGTTACCTCCCTTTGTTAAATTTTTCATCTCAATTTAAGCTTACATGTAACTTGCAATGATGATCTTCTTAGGCTTAACTTGCTTCACAATATCATGTTTGAATCCCTCAGTCGCAAGGACATATGTGAGCATTTTTGATTGGCTCGTTTGTTACACAGTTTAATGTGATTAGCCTGATTTGAATTAAGCATTGATAGGCCAAACACAACTAATTTATATAATATATAGCTTGTGAGAAGGGCGATTGAGCTTTTGATAGTGCAATTAAGTTAAACGTGACCGAAGAGTCAGCTTGAACAACAGTGGTTTTTCTTGCTCTCTTTTTGTGTAGTTTATGCAGTGCATGGAGTATTCTACACTGAGCAAATTTTATTTTACCACTTTGAGTGTCACATTTAGAGGTTGAGGTTGCTGGTCTGTTCCATGCATATTGAGCAATTAGTTCCTATGGTTTATGTTTCTGCAGATGTTTTCTGACAGGATTTGATTACAATTTATGCAGTTTACCACGAAATGATTTTCTCTTACCTCTGTTTAATACGGTGGCCCACAAGGGACATGCTGCAAATAAAAAAGTTGCTGCAAAACAAATAAGTTGCTGCAAATAAAAAGTAGTTGCTGCAAATAAAAAATAATTGCAGCAAACAAAAAAATATCTGCTGCAAATAAAAGCAGTTGCTGCAAATTAAGTGACAGGAAATTATGCGCACGCACTGATGGGAAGAGGAGGACTCAGTATAGTTGTATCGAGGGCCCACTCACAAAATGCTTGGCCTAGTCCTCAGTGACAAAAACCTTATTTGAGTTCAATAGAAACAATTATCTTCAAACCCATGGAGTTGCATTTGGCATAAAAACAGCAGTGTCCTTTGCAAATA